TCCCCCTGTTTTTCCACAACCCTATCTGCCCGCCCCCCATTACCTGCCGTCGGTGCCCCTTCCGCCACATCTGCTCAGCGATGCGCCATGCCTGCCCAGCCCATGTGGAGCCCAGAAAGGCAGTGCGAGCGGAACACCACCCGCCGAGCCAGGCAGGAGCAAGCAGTGCCCAAATGCATTGATGGGAAGGAGAGCGCCTGGACTGTGTGTGTTGAAAGTCCCTTTCGGGGACTCCAACTCCCATACTCGCCAGCCTTGAACTTATGACCCTCGGGGGAGGGGAGGCTGCCTCATTTGGTTTTGCCTGGTGCCGCTTTCCCCCTGCCTGCTTGGGCGTCCATATTAGCAAGGTTGCCTCTGAGCCTGTGCAGAGTGTGAGCGGCTAGGGCATCCTGCAGCTGGGGCGGGGTGGGTTCGGGTACAATTGGCTGTTTAAATAATGTTTTTTGGTATTTTGAAAAAAAAAGCCTCCATTGAATTTATTTTTATTTTTTAACATGACTATTACTTGGTCAGTTCACTAAGAGACATTTATTGGCAGCTATTGTAATAAAATTGTATTGATTGTGGGTTTAATCCGGAACAATTCAGATGAAACATTCAATACGTCCTCCTCTGTCCTCTTTTTTGTCTTTCTATATCCTCCTTTTGATACTCATGTACAGTATCTGGCAACCCTAGTACAACATGAACCAGAGCACCCAACAATACATTCCCGAATAGGGATACAAACCCCTACATTCATGCATGTGAAAAGCACATTTTAAAGCAATATTTCAAATTGGCTTACTGTATGTCTAATTTCCCTTATAAAAGGTTCACCAATTGTAGTCAAGAAAATAAATCATAATTGTCCTGAAAGCAAAAGTGTTTCCTGGTACATTTTTGAGAGGCAAAAATCTCTCTAAATTCTTCACTTTGTAGTTTCAGGACTGCAATTCCCTGGAGGAAATGTCTGTACTGTCGAAATAGTTGTATCTACAAGTGTGTTGTCTTCCTCTCAGAACTTGGAAAGTTCCTTTTAAAAAATAATTGCTGACATTTTCAAGCCCCCCTCCAAGAAGATAGTTGCAGTTGTTGGTGTTTTTATTTTTCAAAAAGAAGATATTTACTCTCCATTATTACAAAAGGACTAAAGTACTACTTAATTGCTGTTTCTAAAAAATCTGAATGCTGCAAGTTAGCCACAGGTTTGTGATGCAAGAGAGGTTCTCCTACCTATTTTGCCATTAACCCAACACCCACAGCAGAGCATGAGCTACTGATCAAGCCACGTGGTGTTTTTTCTACATTTAGGGAGACAGTTATATCACAAGGAGTGAATCTATCCCTCCATAAGTTAGTATCATAATATAACTTTCATTATTAGAAAATAAATTAATTACAAATAAATTGTTCTTTGTAACTGATTACAACTGGATGTTGCTTCTGCTGTAACTCTGTATGAAGCCAGTTAGTAGTAATATGTATCCACGATCTGGACAGGCTGGTTGTTTTCATTATTAATCTTCCATAAGCCAGGGCAAATGTGTCTTGTTCTTTTCAATGTCAATACTAGTGTAATGTTTATACTATGTACCTGTATATAGTAACCTGAGTTCCACATTTGTACAGAGAGAAGATAAATATATATTTTTATTTGTAGCCAAAAAGGAAGTAAGTAAAGGAATGGCATGAATTATGTTGTTCCAATAACGGTAAAAGTGTGCTTCAAATAAAATGATACCTAAACTTTCCATTCTTCTCTACCAATCTGTATGTTTTATTTTCCCAGCTTGCCACCTTTTTTGTGCTAGATGGAGCACTTGGATGTCCATTTGACATTGTCTTCAACTTGCTGATCTTTTGTTTTGTCCTCCACATAGTTCTTCCCCCCCCCCTTTGATTCCTATGGTTTTGCTGGCATTTCATAGCTTTCGACCTGCTAGTAGCTGACAGCTGCAGTCCTCCTGCTACTGCTACAGCCTCCAGTCCCAGTGGGGTTTTCTTCACAATAAAACTGTGTCTAGCTGGGGGGGAAAGTCCTTGAGAAATCCTATCAACTCACATACTGTAATACTAAATGCAGACTTGCATGCAGGGTGAGCTAGGGCAAATAGTATTTAATTACATCAGGAGCAGCAGACTGCACTTGTTTTGGACTCTCAAAGCACAGCTTAATTTGAACCGAAGTCCAGAACCATTTTTAAATCACTGCCCAGGCAGAAAAGCAGGTCATAAATGTATAAACCAGAAGAGGGTCAGGATCCTCAAAGCTACTATAAACGTCACACTTAATTCCAGTACCAATACATGTGAGAATCAGGCTAAAGTTTACCAGCAAGCATGCTTTTACATCTGTGAGGCCTTCCACCTCTCAGTTTAGCAATCCAACTGCCAGTTGCCCAAACAAATAGAAGGCCATCCCATCCAGCCACCCTGCGCTTTTCTAAGGAGGTTCCAGATGGACCTTCTTAGTGCCACCAATAAAGAGACATTGCAGAGTTGTTCTGTCTTTCTTTCCGCAGTGGATTTTTTTGTGGTATGAAAGGAGACAGACTAGGCAATGGAAAAAGTAAAAGAAGGGTTACAAATGGAAAGTTATGTCTGCTAGCCTTGCAATATTCCTTGTTTTGGGCAGGGCAATTGTACTATGAGCATCTCAGCTGAAAGCATCCTTAGACAGACAGTGCCCTGTAACAGATGAAAGAGCTGCAGTCAACCACTGGTTGGAAGAGAGAAGCACAGCTCCATCATTACATCTTGTGGGAAAGCAGAGATAATTGTGTGTGATTATTAGCACTGCCAGGTGAAGATTTTTTAAAAACAAATTACCTGACTTGCCTTTAGAAAAGTTGTCTAATTAAAACACAATGGAGTTTCAGAACAGGAAACATTCCGATTGCATTTCTGTATGATTCTTATTTGTATTTTTTTCCAAAATTTTAATCTGTGTAATGATAATCTGGAGTTCTTAGTGAAAGATCTATATTATTATTTTATGGTTGTTTTATTCTGAATAAAAAAATAAAAAGAAGATAGAACCACTGGATAGCTTAGAGTTTTAGGTCTCTGGCTGTAGAAACAGAGGTCGGGAGTTTGATTCCTCACTGGGCTTCCTTGACAGGAGCAGTTCTAAGATGATGATGAAATATTCTGAGGACCTTTAGAATAGCTTCTAAGAAGTAAATAACCAAAAACCTTTTGGTGAATGAGAAATTTTGGCGAAACTCACTTCGCCTGCCTCTGTGTTTGACAGTTTCAGAGGCTCCTGTCCAATCTAATATCCTAGTAAAAACGAGATAAAACTGGGACTGCGGGTTGATAAATCCATGCTTTAATAATGTCTAGACTTCTATTCATAGTGAGGCATTCACTTCTGAACACCTTAATCCAGCCAGAATGATAGTGAAAGTAAGCCAGTAACACAGTCCATCTATAATGCTCCATATTTAATTTTTCTGGGTTACAGAAGTTGAGGGTTTTTTAAATTAATCTTTCCATAGCCAGATACAGTAATCTATTAACTGAAAACTGGCGTCTACATTGAGAGCCAGTGTAGTAGTACTGTATAGTGATCAGAACGCTGGACCGGTACAAAAATTGCAGGTTCTAGTCTCCTCTAAACCATGTAGGCTCACTGGGTGATTTTGGGACAATCTCTCTCAGCCTACCCTCCTTCACAGACTTGTTGTGAGTGCAAAGTGAAAGGGAAGAGGAGAGCCACGTTTGCCACCCTGTACTCAGGGGCAGTTAATACATATATATTTGGAAATACAGTAATTAAGGAATTCTGTTGCAGCAGAAACAAGATAGCATCTTAAAGGCAAGTCAATGTTATAAAGCTCTGCGGACGACAGTCCACCTGCATGGAAGAGACGTGAGCTCTAGTTCACGAAAGCCAACGCTAAATAAAGTTTTGTTTAAAATGGCGCGAGAGTGTTTTTAGTCTCATTGTCCTTCTTGTTAAGATTTCTAGCGGCGACTCCAGGCCCTTCTCGTCTTTTGCTTCCTGCGATTGTCTCCTAGCAGCAGACATCTGATCATCGCCCTTGTCAGCAAGGGAAGAGGAAGCGAGTGATCCAGAGAAACAAACGGGCAGGCTCTTGTCTCTCCCCGCGCCCTGTATTTGCCCCCCCCTTCCCCGCCCTGAAGCTTCGCTTTTGCTTCCTTGCCACCTTCTCGCATTCAACAGTTGGAGCTTCCCCTGCAGATCCTGCCCACCCTGGACTAGGGTGGAAGTGGTCGAGATTGTCTTTTCTCGCTCGGTCCTGAACGCCTCACGGGGACGAACGCCCCTCGAGGCCGGCGCCCCTGAAGGGAAACGGGGCTCAGCTCCGCCGTGCCCGGCTGAACGGGGCTGTCTCTCCGCGAGCGCGGCTCTCCTTCCGGGGATCCCGCCCTCGACGGCCACCCGCGCCCACGAGAGTAAAAACTCCACCGGCAACCCAGAAACGGTGGGCGTGCAAATGCGTGTGAATCCAAAAGTTTCAGGGGGAATGGCTTGTGAGTCCATGGTACCATTCCGGAGTTTTCCCCCTGGGGGGGGGCTTAAACAGAGAGCAAAGGCTTTTGAAGTTCTTCCTTTCTGTCCGCTCATCACTCCCGCCCATCTGGAACAGATGCACCGAGGGCAACAGGGAGTGCGCCGCAGCTTGCCCTCCTCTTTCCTCTCCCGGATGGTCCCTGTTTGGGACGGAGCCCATCTCCTGTTTGGCCCCAGGTACTGAGGAGAACACAACTATGCAAGACGACGGAGGTGGGGGAATTGGGAGGTGTGTATGTGTGTGTGTGGGGGTCAGAGGGGTGTGTTGTTGTACCGAAGGCGTGGGAGCGCGCATGCTCGCTCGCACCGCATGACGTGAGAAGAGTGGCTTAGCAGGGAAAGATCAAAGACCGAGCGCCAGAAGCCGAGGGGACCGGCGGGGTTGGGTGCGCGAAGAGCCGCCCCCGGGAGAGCAGGGCGCCGGAGCGTGGGGCGCGCGAATCGGCTGGAGGCGGCCCGTGGGGTGCGGCGGGAGTGTTGCCTTTTGTCTCGCCCGCCTTCCCTCCTCCTTCTCCCGAAGGGAGCTGCCGAGGCGCGGGGACGCCTGAGCGAGCCAGCCAGCCAGCGAGCGCCCATGGGGAGGCAGCCCAGGCGCCCCAACAGCCTGGTGCACGCAGACGCCTGACCGAGCAGACCCGGGAGAGGAGAAGCGCCCGCCAAGAAGAATCCCCCCCCTGCCCCGACAGCTCCTGGCGGTATCAGGGATGTCGCCGCGGCCACAACAATGAGGCAGAAGCTCCGGCGTGGATGTGGGAAGTAGACGCGTGACCGCGGAGGCGAGGGAGCGAGAGGCGCTTCGTGCCCGGAGCCCGCGACCTGCGCCCGCGGGAGGAGCAGGTGGCCGGATTGGCGGGGACGCCGGGGGGAGGCTGTGGCTGGGAGCCGCCGGAGCAGCTGCCCGTCGCCTCGCCATGGATTGTAGCCGCCTCAGGACCCTTATTAACAGATACGTAAGTAACCCGGCCCTCTCGGCGCGCCTTCCTTCCTACAGGCCGGGCTTTGCCTCCTCCTGCCCAGGGCGCCAAAGCAAGCCGAGATGCGGGGCTGCTGCCGCCCGCCTCGCTTGCTCTTCATGTGGAAACGCGCGCTCTCTCTCTCTCTCGCGTGCGCGCGTGTAGGCTTGGCAGCGGGCCCCGGTTCCCCGGAAACATCGAAGCCTCGTGGTAGAAGATGTGCCTCTCTTAAATTCAAGGCATAGTCCTTCCGTTAAAATTCCCGTGGGAGGAAAATACAGGTTGTCCTCCCTGCTTCCCTTGAGTAGTGTTTCTGCTGGGAGATAAACGCTCCCCAATCTCCTCAAATGTGTGCATGATGAAGGGTTTAAAATCAGATATTCAGGCGCTTCCTGTGATTTTTCTCCTTTCCGTTCATGGGAGGTTGTATGTGATCTACAGCTCAAAACCCTACTGCTGTACACGGAATGCAGTCTAACGTTCGGGCCTCACACCATGTTTTCAGAAGCGCAGGAGCCCCAAATAGTGCTCCAGACTGGGCATGTTGATGGACTCCTTCTAACATTGGCTTACTCTAAAATAAACAGGCATCGGGTCAGTTGTGCACCTTGTCCTGTGTGTTTCCAAGTAAATCCCATTCTGGCCACAGTGACTTAATAGGAAGTAATCGGTTCATAGGATTACTTTCAAGGAAACATGTATTAGGAAAAGTCGTATTTCTTTTTTCTTTTTTTTTATGTTTCTGATGTTTTAAAAGAAAAATACAGTTCCACTGCTGGTAATTGGACTTCCTCTCCTGTAATTTTTTGGGCATTTGGAGAATGTCAGATACAGTATCTGGAACTGATTGAATAAGTAGTGCTGGCCACTCACTGTTTGGCAAGGCAGAACTGAGCTATAAACCTTTCACTCTAGCATTTGATTTGCTTACTGCCATTCCTATCTGGAAAAGCAATGGCAGTTATCAATATTAAGTGTTACAAGGTGCCTTAGATAGCTTCAAATTAAGGACTGGATTAAGAATTGAGGAAACAAGTCTCAACTGTTGTCGCTGGTGAGCAGCAACAGATGGAGGACCAGGTGGATAGTTTCAGTAAACTATCCCGCTGATCCTAAATGCAGCAGTGTAGGTGTAGATCTTCCTGATTTCACCAATGTTTGTTCTTCCAGTAAAATACATTTAGAGCGACTCCTTGAGGTAATTAAACTGAGTTCCAATGTAAATATATTTTGATTGGTGTTTAGGGCCATATCCTTAGCTACATGTGTATTGCCAAATCAGTTTCATTGAAAGTCAATAGTAAGTGTTCTAGAAAAAGAGTACCAGTTTGTATTTTAACCTTTATAAAACCTCTTGATACTTAGAAAAACCACACTGTAAACAGATTGACAGGTATGCTCATTTTATTATGCTTGTGTGTATAATAAGACTCTGGAGTCTGTCTCTTCAGATACTGTTTATCAGCTTCCTTTCTTCCTAAAGCTTTCTCATAAGTGAACAGTCATGAGTTTGATAGTCTCATGATTTGTGTTGAGGTCAGAACAAAAAGCCCTTGAGCTGTATTCTACATTTATTGTCTTCAGCAGCCAGCTAGGCTCACTTGTCTGTGCTTTCTTGATGCAGTTTATGCTTTTCTTGACTAAGTGAAATAGATCATATGCATGTTGCTTAATAGCAATTGATAATTTGCAGATACTCAGCAGGAGTAATAGGATAGGTCAACTACGCAATGTCAGATAAATCAGATTTTATTTAGCAATATGGGAAGATCCTGAGTGTATTCAATTTTCAGCGAGACTCTTTAGCCTTTGGTGTCAGTAGACTATCCGTATTATCTGCTGAAAAATAAAAAGAGGGAGACCCTTGGCAAGAAAAGCTTCATCATGATGAGAATGTGCATCTTTCTCTCTTAACATTGCATATTTTGTTACTAATGCCAATATTAGTAATTACTGATTAGTAATTTCTAAGCTTATTACTTTTACTATTTGTGGGGAGAGATGGGAACTATGTGGGACACTGAGTGTTGGTGCTGGGCACTTTAAAACCTTACTCTGGTATCCTCTGGCTTCTGAATTTTCACTTCCTATGCTCTGAAACACATATTGAAAATATAACTAACATTTAAAACTGACCAAGAAGAGGGTACTGAGAAGCTGAATTGTGCACTTACTGGCCACAAACCTGTTGCTTAGCATAGGTAAAGGTAAAGGTTCCCCTTGACAATTTTTGTCCAGTCGTGTTCGACTCTAGGGGGTGGTGCTCATCCCCGTTTCCAAGCCATAGAGCCAGCGTTTTGTCCAAGGACAATCTTCCGAGGTCACATGGCCAGTGCGACTTAGACACGGAACGCTGTTACCTTCCCCCCGAGGTGGTCCCTATTTATCTACTCGCATTTGTATGCTTTTGAACCGCTAGGCTGGCGGGTGCTGGGCCAAGCGACGGGCGCTCACTCTGTCGTGTGGATTTGATCTTCCAGCTGAAACTCTGCAGACCTTAGAGTACAGAGGCTTCTGCGGTTTAACCCGCAGCGCCACCACGTCCCATTGCTTAGCATAGTAAATTGTAAATTCCATTGATTCAAGTGGGCCTAATCTAACTGTGATTTACTTTAACATAGTAAGTCACAGTTAGAGTATGTCCATTTGAATCAGTGGAACTTGTAGAGGAGGTGACTCATGAAATCCCCATTGATTCAGTGGGCCTAAAGGTTCTCCTTGACATTTAGTCCAGTCATGTCCAACTGTAGGGCACGGTGCTCATCCCCATTTCGAAGCCATAGAGCCAGCATTTGTCCGAAGACAGTTTCTGTGGACACATGCCCAGCACAACTAGACACAGAACGCCATTATCTTCCCACCAAGGTGGTACCTATTTATCTACTTGCATTTTTTGCATGCTTTCAAACGGCTAGCTTGGCAGGAGCTGGGACAAGCAACAGAAGCTCACTCCGTTGTGTGGATTTGATCTTACAACTGCTGGTCTTCTGACCTTGCAGCACAGAGGCTTCTGCGGTTTAACCTGCAGCGCCACCATGTCCCTAAGTGTGCCTACTTTAGTGCAATTTACTATGCTAAGCAACAGGATTTTAGCCATGATCACATTCAACTTATAAAAACTGTGGTGCTTCATACATAGAAACTGAAATAGATTTTAACATTAATTTAAATTACAATTTGATCCAAAGATTAGTTGCGGCAACATTTTTAACCTGAGGCAGCAATTGGTACTGTCCAGCCTAAGTATTCATTTGCTGCCAAGAAAGTCTTCAGCTTAGACTGTTGGTTAAGAATCATAAAGAGGCCTATCACAAAAGGCTTTGATTGAACAGGCTGGACTGAGGGATAATTTGTGGAAATGGTGGCTGCCTCCAGAAGATGCCCAAAAGGTATTTGTCAAGTGAAGTTTCTGTAAGCTTCACTTCTCAAAATAACCCCATCGATCCCATTTTAGTTCTGTCAATTCAAGCTTTCACCATCCCTTTTAGTTATATAGAATCTCCGTGTTAACGAGCAGTATTCTTCCAAATAACTAATTCTGGTGACAAAGCAGGCAGTACCCCTCCACCCCACTTGTCAGCTTCACAGAGGCATTTGGCGGACAGTTGTTTGGAATAGGATGCTATATAAACAGAACAAACGAATGGCTGAACTGTTGTGCACATACATTGATGATGTGCTTTGCCAGTCTTTAATTTTAAAAAATAATAATAATAATAATCAAAGCTCTCAGGAAATGTTAAGCCATACTTTTAATTCACTTGCAAAAAAAGAGAAAAGAACATGGGATAGATTACTTTCTGCTCTTGTATATATGATATTTGAGCACAGTGTTTATTCTGCCCAACAAAGTGCTGGTGGATATGCCAAACTCAGATAGGTCTTTTTAGGACACATCACCATCATCATCTTAGAACTACAGAGCTGGAAAGACCCTATGGATCATGAAGCCCAGCTCCTGTCAGGGAGACACAGTGGGGAATTGAACGCCCAGTGGTTTAGGTATTTGGCTGTGATCTGTGAGAGCCTTGGAGGCTGGAAGTTCCTTTGTATCTCTCTTTCCTTCTTGTGATTTTGTACATTTATGTCATTTTTTTTCTCCTCAATTGGAGAAACTACCATAAAAGGTCATATAAATTATTACCAGAATCAGTATGTTAACATTTCATGGCTCTGAAGTTGAAAGACAACCTGAATAAATGCCATATTGAATTGACTCGCAGCGTAGTTCACCTTTTCTGCATATGGGATCCTGTTTTCACGTTTCATCAAAAGATATAGTTTCTCTTTAAAAATTCAATTTTGTTAAATGAACAGTGATTCGCTTTGTTTATTCTAATTTGAAACTTTTATAGCCCACCTTATATCACAGGATCTCGACACACATTATAGAGTGGTATAAAACGATTTTAAAATGTAAGATGTTCGAAACAATTTAAAATCAAACGGTTGAAAACGCAAAATTTAAACATTAAAACCATTGCACTAAAACTTGTGCAGGCCATATTCCTCAATCCCTAAAGGCTCTAATAAATAAGTACAGTATAAGGCATTGCCAGCGCAGGCATGGCTGATGAGGACATAAGAGAGGGCCTGTTCTTTGCCCCCTTTAGCAGCTCCATTTTCAGGTGTCATGGAGAGACTGACAGTATGGGAAATGTAGTGGTTACATAACAGGGCCAGACCAATAATACAGCCATAATATCAGGCCTGTTCTGGATCATCACCCCCAGTTCACACCTTGATTATGCTTTGTTGTGTCCCAATTTGCATGAAGACTGATAAAAATGACTTGTCTTCAGTCACCTGTCTTTGTTCTGAAGCTAAATGATCATGCAGAGGCAGCTGCTGTTGTCTGGGAAGAATCCAGGCAGCTTCAGAGACACTCAGAACCAAATGATCCCTGGAGTTGATTCAGAATTCTCTCTTAGATGTTTGTATCTGGTGTCGCTGCTTGACTTTTCTCAAGAAAGGCAGAACAGAAAAGGAGAATTGGA